CTGTGTAAGTGTGGCACACAGTTTTGGAAGGTGCTGCAGGTGGAGGTGGACTCTGCTTGACAGCTAAGGACTGCCCTGACATATGGGGGAAGAGAAGTAAAGAATTAGTAAAAGAAAGAAGGAAAAAAAAATGCCTACCTTTCTGACTGAAGGGGTAGGGCTCTGAGTTTGGGAGCTGGGGCTGGGGCTGGAGCTGATGTTCAGCCCTGCCTCAGGTTCCCTGACTGTATATATTTTAAAATATTGTTAATTTTTTTGAAGGCATTTTTGCTGTTGGGTGCATACTCTTGCCAGAGAGATAGAGACAGAGTGATAGAAAGCAAGAAATCACCCTCTCATTGGATGGTCATGCTGCCATCCCTTCTTCAGTGTCCTCTCAGGATCTTGGGCACACATGCACACATGCTCATTGTGAGTGTGAAGTCGCAAGGTCTGGACTAGAATTGCAGTTGGCCATGTAGGAGTCCAACGATGCAACCACTATGCCATCTGCTTGTCCAAAATGTTACTGATATTTAAAGAATAATTTTTTTTTTTTATTGCCAGAGAGCATGTACGCTCAATAGAGAGAGACAGAGAGACAGAGAGTGAGTAACCATCCTCTTTTCCTCCTTTCTTCTTTTCTGATTTTGGGTACACATGCATACTCTTAATGTGTTTGTTAAGCTTCTGGGACTGGGATTTGAACCACAAGGTCAGCCATATGGGATTTGGCTCCCTTAACCACAGGACTGGCCTAAGGGGAATAAAAATTAATTTCTTAAATTTAGCTTTTTTTTTTTTTTAGCTTCTTCTTTGTCTTTATTTTGCTTAAATTTTCTTATTCCATTTGCTTATTATTTCATTCCATTACTATCCAGAAGTGTGACAATAAGGATGGATTTCACAAATCATACACAGGGGCTATGGCATCTTTATTTTTCTCAGGTTGCTTCTTTTGCTCTCTCAATGGCTCATCCTTTTCAAAAGATGAATCTAGAAAAATATCTCCTGAACAGCTTGGGATCTTCAAGAGGAAACACTTTCCTGATTAATAATTACTCTTTATGTACAGATGGTTCCTACAGAGTTACTTCAAGATACTGTTCACTGTTTTGTACACCATTGAGTCCTTAAATAAGAAATTCTGTAGTTAAAAATGTATGGATGCCAAGCTTTAGTGGCAGTGGTGTTAGCTAACCATGTTCTGTAGGCTGGGACCAAAATGGCGGTCCAGATTTATTCCTGATCTAACCTAAAGGCATACATGCACAATCCCAATAACCTGGGAAGCTGAGGATGGAGAATTACAATGATGACCTGGGCAGCTTAGCAAGACCCTACCTAAAATAGGGCAGGACATGTTGGCGCATGCACGTGGTCCTAGCTGGAGCTAGGAGGCTGAGGCGGTAGGATCTTGATAGACCCTGTCTGTTAAACAGCAACAAAAATAATCATAGTCTTTGGGATATGAAATGATTCATTCAGAGAAAGCTGTGCCAGCAACATGCTTAGTCCTAGGAGAGGAATGTAGGCAGGAGGTCATGCTCAGTGAGGAACGCGGTTGCAATGCCTCTCAGTTGCCATTCATCAGAGAAGGTGCAGAGGAGGGAAATGGCCAGGCTAATGACATTGCTTGTCTAGATATTCTGTAACATGTTTAATTTGACCCACCTCCCATCATGACAGAATCACAGGAGAAACCTTACAACCAAGGATGGGAAGTGAGAACTGAAGTGCAGAGAGTCCAGGAGAGGCTGGCTGACAATGAATATTCAGATAAAGTTTACCAAGTGGGATATCCTTAGCTGTTTGTTGGCCTTCCCTTGGTTTGTCAGAATGCTTGTTGGGCAATCCAGCCTTGTGGAGAATGCTAGAATCCAAGTAGAAGGGAGAGCTGCCTCTGCCTTAGGATGGCAGGCTTCAGACCTTGGCTGAACTCAATCACAGCTTGTTTATTCATTGTCATCCTTCTTCCACAAGGAAAGTTCCTTTTTGAAAAGGCTTTAGGGCAGGGAACCAGCAGTTAGCGTAAAGGCTGTGTCGCTGGACTCCCACGTAGTCGACCGCGGTTCACGTCCCGGACCCGGTGGCTTAAAACTCACGCCGGGCACGTGTGCGTGCGTGCCCAAGATCCCGAGAGGAGAATGGAGGAGAAGGGATTGCGGTGTGACCATCCCCCCTGGGGGGTGATTTCTCGCTTTCTGTCTCTATGTCTCTCTCTGTCTGGCGAGCGCACGCGCCCTACAGTGAAAATCTCTCCAAAAAAAAAAAAAAAGGCTTTAGGGCATAGAAGGGCCTGGAAATATCTGAAATATATCACCTTTCAGAACATATTGGGCCCTATTCTTGGTTGCATTCAGTTATTTTTAGCATATTGCCTAAAGAGTTTCCTTGTAGAGTTTAGTTAAATGGGAGCTCTAGTTTATTCTATGATTAAACCTTCTTCTTTACTCATCAATCTTATCCTTCTAATCCCTCCAGCCTCACAAAGTGGCCTTTCCTCTGGCAGCTTCTCTCCTACAGTTTTGTCTACTCGGCCCATTTGTGACTGGATTTTTAAGTGCAAATTATCAGCATATTAGTTGACTCGGCATGTTACCTAACTTCAGTAATTATTACTTCATGACCAGTTTCTTTCATCTGTGCCATCTACTTCCCTCCCACCAACTTATTTGAAACAAAACCTAAAATTCATATAATTTTTTCTTTGCTTTTATTTTGCTTAAATTTTTCTTATTCTGTTATGTTGTCAGCAAAGTCATGATGTATTTTTCTGTTATTCTAAGCAAAAATGTATCATGAACTTCCAAACAATCCAATATTTGCTTATTATTTTATTCCATAACTATCAAAAAGTGAGAATTTTGTAGTAAATGGTTGTGAAATATGAACATATACTTAAACAGAAGGCCCATTTTGGTATTTGCTAGTCTGCTATTGTGTTGGTAATAGAAATATCTGAGACTGGGTGATTTCTAAAAATAAATCTTTATTTGGCTTATGATTCTGGTGGCTGGAAAGTCCAATGGCATGGGATGGGCATGAGGCTAGCCCCTGGTACCTCATTACAACATGGCTGATGGAAGCAGAGAGGTGGCAGGTACATAGCAAAGAGAGAGATGTGGAGCAGCCATCTTTCTTTTATAACAGTCCACTCTTGGGAAAACTAATGCCTTCCCATGAACTCACTCATTTTAGCAAGATAACATGAATCTATCCATAAGGGTGATGCCTCCATCATCCCACTAGGCCTCACCACTTAAAGGTCTCACCAACTTCTAATGCCAGTACTCTGGAAACTCAACTCTAAGACATGAACATTTGATAGATAAATTATTATTTCAACCATAGCAGTATTCAGGTGAGCTAGACTTTCTCCCAAAGTGATAACAAATGAACCATTCAAATTCCAAAATTCTGCAGAACATAATCAAATGATTTGAACAGAAATTCATAATGAATATATAATAAAATATATAGAGAACTTTAATTTGCAAATTATGAATTATATAATAGGTCTTCCCTACATGCATACACATAACCAGTTTGTCTCTTTAGACAACTTTTGTTAGTAGATAATTAGTTCTAAGATGTTTAAAAAGTTTTTGTAAAAAAATAATGATTATGATTCCCTATAATAGGGTTTAATATTATATGTATGTATGTATATATGTATGTATGTATGTATTTATATCTTTACCTGAGTCAAGCATCTAACCTCTTCTATCTGCTACAGATTTTTTTTATGTATTAGGTACAAGCATTTTGGACTTATGTTTTTTGTTATTGTTGTTTGTTTTAAAAGAATAATTTACTTAATTTTATGTACTATTATTTTTTCTAATTTGACCAGAGAGAGAGAGACAGAAAGAGGGAAAAAGAGAAAGTGAAAAAGTAAGCTGCCAGCTCTGGAACCCGAACCATGGCTGTAACCATGTGGGAGTCCAGCGCCTTAACTACCGTGCCATCTGCCAGCCCCTGGCATTTGTTAAATGTGAAAAGTCTAATTGGTGAAGAGAAAAATCTTGAAACTTTGGAGCTAATAGTACTTGTGCTTTAAATTGGAAGCTGTGTAATTTTTTTGTAGGGGTTTAAGAGTCCCCCCCCACCCATAAGGTGCCTGTGCCTCTGTGCTTGCCAGAGCAACAGAAAGACAGAAAGCAAGAAATCACCCCCACCCTAGGTGAGATGGCCAGACTAATCCTCTCTCCTCCATTCTCCTCTTGGGATTTTGGGTATGCACGCACACATACCTGGTGTGATTTTTCAAGCAGCCTGGTCTGGGACTCAAGCCATGGTTGGTCATATGGGAGTCCAGCACCTTAACCACTATACCATCTGCTGGCCCCAGAAACTGTGTATTTGTAAATGAAATTTTGTTTTTCTTTATTTCCAAAGTCTCATAACTCTAGTATGTTATTAGACATGTTCAACGGTGTTTTTGAGATTTTTATTTTTAGGTTTTGAAATAATTATATATGTTGTACAGTTTAACACATAATTTATTTTACTTACTCTCATTGTTAGCTAATGAATACATTATATTTTAAAACTAAGCTAGAACAGGGACCAGCAGTTAGCATAATGGCTATGTCACTAGACTCCCATGTAGTCGACTGTGGTTCGAGTCCTGGACCCAGCGGCTTAAACTCACGCCGGACACGTGTGTATGCACGACCAAGATCCTGGGAGGAGAATGGCGAGAAGGGATTGTGGCATGGCCATCCCCCCTGGGGGGTGATTTCTCACTTTCTCTCTCTCTGTCTCTCTCTTTCTGGCAAGCGCACATGCCCTGTAGCAAAAACCTCTCCAAAAAAAAAAAGAAAAACAAAAAGAAAAACAAAAACTTTAAGCTAGAACAGAGATATAAAAATCACATGTGTAGAAAAGTTTACTGGTTCTGCAGGTGGCCTTTTCTAGCCACTTGTCGTTATTCTAAAACCTCATTATTGACATATGTTGATTGACTATTTGCTGTTATAGCAGTGTAGCATAAGAAATGCCGATTTCCAATCTAGCTTTTTATTGGAAGACTGTGAAGAAGCCTTTCTGAAAAACCCTGAAGGCAAACCACGATTAATTTATCATCGTTTGGAGGATGGGAAAGTCAGTTCCAACTCTGTCCAGCAATTGATTGATCAAGTTTCTAACCTAAACAAGACCAGCAAAGCCAAGGTAACATTCATAGGATTTTAAAAAGAACACTGTTGGTTCAAGGAAGAACTAGAGCAAAGGCGATGCAGAGGGCATGAGCTTGGTGTGTTTGGGGCAGGAAGGGAAGCCAGTGTGACTGGAGCAGTGAGTGACAGGGAGTCATGGGAGAGGGAGCTGATGCATCCATTTTTAAAGACTGATTTTTTTCATTTGGAGTGAGTTGGGTAGACATTGGAGGACTTAAAGCAGAAGAATATCAGGACCTGACATGATCATCTGACAGCGATCTTTGGCTGCCATGTTGAGAATAGATAGCAGTGTGGAAGATACTGTGCTGTCTAAGAGCTGTGGCAGTCATCCAGAAGATAGATGGTGATAGCTAGGACCAGTGTGGTGGTAGAGGAGGTTAGAAGATATGGTAGAGTTTTATGTAATTTGAACAGTAGAGCCAACAGGATTTCCTAACAGCTTGATCATGAGCTATGAGGAGAAGTGGAGTAAATAGGAATACAGATGCTTCCTGACTTACTATGGTTCAACTTAAGAATTTTTTTACTTTAGGGTGGTTTGAAAATGATAGGCATCCGTAGACCCCATAAACCCATCATAACTCAAGGGGTATATGACTTTGAATAGTTTTGATTTACAATATTTTAAACTTATTATGGGTTAATTAAGATCTAGCCCCATCATAAGTTGAGGAGCATCCATATGTGGCTAGAAAGAGTATGATCTGAGAGTGAGCAAACTAGATTGTTTTCTGTGCTTTTCTCCAGAGCACAGGGTCTTTGTATCTCCTGGCCAAGGACTAGCTTAAGGGCGTAATTTTTTATAGTGACCTTTCCTAAGAACATCGGGAAAAGCAAAGGGCTGATGATGGATATGAGAGAAGTTTGGCCATTATTAGAGGAATAGTGGGCTAAGTTTTAGAATAGATATTAGAGACTTTTCATTACTGCCCATTGAGGTAAACTTGGTAAATGTTTACAGTTAATATGAACAATACAATTGAAAACAACTTTTAGATCTTGACAAAGTTTTTATTTCTTGGTGCTCAGCCAGAAAATAAGATCAATATAATACTGGCATTTTTTTTTTTTTACATCATTTAGAATTGAAAAGATAACTTGTGACCCACATGACATATTAAACCAAAAAACCTAAGACAAAAAAGAGAGGTACATTTTTATTATAAGAGCCACTTCATTCTTTAATTATTTTAATGTAAGCCTAGTCCATTAGGCACACAAGAAAAGATGTTTATCTTATCCTTATATATTCTATAAATATTACTTTTTCACTAGAAGGATGAATCTCTTTAAAAAATAAGAGCTATCTACCATGATTATAAATACAGATGTAGTAAAAATTTCCATATTGGTTCATTTGATATGCTTTGAAAATCGTTGTCTTATTCTGATTTTACCAAATATTAATCATGTATTAGCAGTTTTAATAGCAAAATAGAAATAAAAAAGATGAAAAAATAGAAAAGCTATTGTTTTATTTAGAAAAATACTATTTTTCTATTTTATTATATAACTGTAGTTTTGCTGATTTAAACTTGATTCTAATGCATTTTTAAAAGAATCATTTACTTTAACTTTATTTATTTATTTACTTACTTACTTACTTGAATTTAACCATAGAGGGACAGAGTGAAATAGAGAGAGAGAGAGAGAGACAGACAGACAGACAGATAGACAGACATTCAGTGAGACAGCAAGCCACCTGGTCTGGGACTCAAACCTTGGTCCGCCATGTGGAAGTCCAGTACCTAACCACCACGCCACCTGATGGCCCCAATTCTAATGCATTTTGAAGGATATGCTTATTGAACAATATGAAAATACAAAGGACAAAATTTGGATACAAGGCAAAAACGAAGTATAATTTTATCATGCTATGATTCATACTGAGTCCTTTGTGTGACCTTAGGAGACTTGCCTTAGTTTCCTCTTCTGTAAAGTGAGGGAAGTAATGTTACGTTCCTCATGAGGTTTTTGTGATGATAAAAGAACTCGATATATGTAAGTCACTCAGAATAGCTCCTGACACGTAGCACTATAAAAGCATTTGCCACTACCACATTTTCTGGCTATTCTCATTTTCTCTTGTTGCTATTGAGCTGCAGCATCTTCTTTTTTTTTTTTTTTTTTTCCCAGATCATTGATCACTTAGGAGATCCTGCAGAGGGAATATATAAAACTTATATTTGTGTGGAAAAGATTATTAAACAGGTAATGTGCATTTCCTATACAATTTCATCTAAAATATGTGAAGAGTGTTTTTCATAATATTAAGTTTTCCAAAGAGCCACTTGGTTGTTTTTGAAAACAGTATCTAAAGTATCATTACTTCTGTTGGGAGTTCATCCCATGGTATTATCAAGGTATCTCTAGGACCCTGTACCTTTATCTCTCCTCTGACTCATAGTTATTTGATGTTTTAATACCTGTTAAGTGTAAAATGTGTTACAAAAATACTAAAAAGTACAGTTATGTATTAATGAATGATGGAGACACATTCTGAGAAATGCATTGTTAGATGATTTTGTTGTTGTGTATCATAGAGCATACTTAAACTAATCTAGATGCTATATCCCACATCATACCTAGGCTGTATGGTATAGCCTCTATGCTCCTTTTAGGACCACTGCTCCGTATGTGGTTGGTGTATTGGCTGCCCATTATCTAGCACATGACTGTATTTGTGGGAAAATGTCTATTTTACTCAATAGCAAGGCTCTTCAGATTCTGTGTGCATTTTCAGTTTTTAAACTTTTTAAAAAAAAATCTTGCCAGTGCGCATGTGTGCTTGCCAGAGGTAGAGGGATCACACCACCACCCCTTCTCCTTAATTTCTCCCTCCTTCTGGGATTTTGGACACATTCACCTGGTGTGTTTTTTAGGCTGCTGAGTCCAGGACTCGAACTGTGCAGTCTGGCATGTGGGATCAAACTCCCTTAACCACCAAGCCATGGCTGGCCCTCAATTTTTATACATTAAGAAATTCCTTCTCAGATTTTTCCCTCATGTTATCCTTAATAAAAGGTGATGAGCTCATACTCCCAGGAGGGGAATGGGGATAATGGAGGGGTCTTGAACTGAAAGTGTCTATGAAATTTCATGTATCATCTTGAAAATTTATGCCTGTGTTACTACTGTGCCTGTGTTTATGCTTAATTTAAAAAAATGTCTGAAATTATGTATCAGCAAAAATACTAGTAATAGGAAGAAAAAGAAAAATGTGTGTCCTCAATTGGAGTGTAAATGGGCACAATAACAAAGTGTACTGCAGACCAGCAGGTGATGTTGTGGTTAAGGCGCTGGACTCCCATGTAGTTGACTGTGGTTCAGGTACCAGACCCAGCAGCTTGAAATTCACACCAGGTATGAATGCATGAATGCCCAAAATTCTGAGAGGAGAAGGGATTACAGTGTGGCCATCCTCCCTAGGGGGTAGGGGGTGATTTCTGTCTCTCTGTTGAGGGCATGCAACATATAGCAAAAACAAACAAAAAAACAAAACAAACAAATAAACAAAAACCTCTTTTTTAAAAAAAGAAAGTGTATCATGTTTAGCCAGTGGTTGTTCATATCTTCCAGCACTTTCCCCAGGGAACCAGCGACCATATTTGAGAAGTAAGGAATAAAATTGCCTTTTCTAATGAATCTACATTACAGATAGGGAGATTTGTTATCAGAAAAAAGATATAATGATGTGATTTCTGGCAACACATTTGGTATAGCACTCTCTGGCATAAAGATTATCATTATCAATTTTGATCCTCTCAACAGTCTTGTAAGTTTTAGGACCAGGATAAGTAAAATTAATTGAGCAGAATGAATGGCAACAGGTGAAAATGGACATATAGGGGCCAGCAGGTGGCATGGTGGTTGAGATGCTGGACTCCCACATGACCAAGCATAGTTTGAGTCCCAAGCCTGGAGGCTTGCTTTCTCACTTTCCTTCTCTCTTTCTGTGATTCTTTCTGGTCAAATTAAAGTAATGATGATGATAATAATAATAATAATAATAATAATAAATAAAATAGAATAAATATTTCTTTAAAGAAGAAAATGGCCATATAAACTAGTTTAATGTTGAAGAAAACATTTGAAACTAATATAAAGACTAGGTATGACAGCAGAGATATTGGGGGGGGGTCTTTAAAAATTCATGGAAAATGTGTGTTAGGAAAAACTGTGCATGGATTTTAAAAATGTTTTCTTACTTAAATAAACTCATACTAGAACTCCATTTCTCCACAAACTTTGTAAAGTGCCCTTGAAGTTGATATCAGGAAATCCATTTTAGTAATTCAGTTCTTATAGGCTATTTCTTAGGTATTAGCACAGCCTCTGTAATTATTCACCAGTCGGCTCTAACCAGAAATATTGTGTCATGTTTTTCAGAGAACAAATCCTGTGTGAGGCAAATATCCCTCTAACTTTATGTTTAATAAAAAGAAGTTTTGTTTTATATATATATATTATATATATTATACGTGACACAAACCGCCATCAACTACGTGGGAGTATACTAACTGCTGGTCCCAACATTTTAATATTTTTATTTTTTAATTTTAAATCAGTGTTTGTGCTTGTAGTTATAAATTTATTTTTGTCAGTATCATGCAAAAGCCATAGGTTTAATTAAATTTGTCCTCTTTGGTAGGTACCCCCTGCCTCAGGCTCTTCATGCTCTTCATTGACTTTTCTGTGCTTATGCTTTGTGCTCAGGACATATTAGGCTTTGAGAACACAGACTTGGAGACTAAGGATTTTAGCAGTGAAGACTCCATTCCAGAAGAAGATCATTTTGGTGATGTTCTGTGGGACATACATGATGAACAAGAGCAAATGGAAACTTTTCAGCAGGCTTCTAATTCAGCACATGAATTGGGATTTGAGAAAGTAAGCATCTAGAATATTGCTCCAGAAAAGATCAGTGAGCACGGAAAGGCCTACTATGATTGTGCTTACATCCATATATTTTCAAGGTTTACTATTGTGTTAGTGTGTCTGCTCTCATGGCTTGATTATCCTTGTTGACATGTGCTTGGGTTTGTGTGGTAGGTACGATGTGTAAGATACATGTCAAACAAATGTGTATCAGAGATTATGATTTATCAACCACATGTTTGTTACGCTACCATCTGCAGTTCACCCACATCAGGATTAGGATAGCTCAGAAATTTAATAAGATCGTAAGGCTGTCTGTTCTACCAGTTTTTTTGTATTGTTTGTTTTTAGAGATTTTTGCTATAGGGTACTTGGCAGAGAATCAGAAAGTGATAAACCACGCCCAAGTGGGGATAGCCATATCACAGTCCCTTCTCCTCCATTCTCTTCTCAGGATTTTGGGCATATACTCACATGAGCCCAGTATGAGTTTCAAGCTGAGAGGTCCGGGACTTGAACTGTAGTCACCCATGTGGGAGTCCAGCACCTTAACCACTGCACCATCTGCTGACCCCATATTCTACCAATTCTTAAAGGAATGACCACAAACATTCAGAAAACAAAGTATAGTGGCTTGCATAATACATTAATTCTTCTTTATTGGTCTAATCAGCATCCTTAAATATTTAAACAAATAAACAGAACTTGAAATGTATGAAGAAATCTACATCCAACTTCAAAAAATACTTAATGATAGGGACTAGCAGTTAGTGTAATGGCTATGTTGCTGAACTCCCATGTAGTCGACTGTAGTTCGAGGCCTAGACCCGGTGGCTTGAACTCACTCTGGGTGCGTGTGCATGCGTGCCCAAGATACCAAGAGGAGAATGGAAGAGAAGGGATTGTGGCATGGCCATCCCCCCTGGAGGTGATTTCTTGCTTTCTGTCTCTCTGTCTCTGTCTTTCTGGTGAGCACACGTGCCCTATAGCAAAAACTTCTAAAAAAAAACCTTAATAATATTTAAAAATTAATGCAAGAATTATTATTTTAAAATAAATTACAGTAGCTAACACTAACAGTTGTATTTTTGTAAAATTTTTATAATTTAGATCGTCTGTGTTTGTATCTGTGTTGTCTCCTAACATATGAATGTCGCAAAACCCCACAGGGATCTGAAGTGTTTCCCTTTACCTGTTAGTGTACAACCATGCTGTGTGTAGAAAGCACTGGGCCCATGCTTAGCTTGCTACTTCAGGCAAATTTCACCAGCCATAAAAATAAGCAACTGTGAGAGTGATGTCAACTGAAAGTAGATGTCATGTTCTCATGCAGCTTTTCTCCGTTGTTTCCAGAGGCTGATTGGAGTTGACTCTCTGGTATTTCAGAGGCATGTGCTTCCTCACACTTTACATTCATTTTTGCTTCTAGTATTACCAACGCCTCAATGACCTAGTGGCAGCACCAGCCCCAATTCCACCTCTTCTCGTGTCTGGAGGACCAGGTTCTGGAAAGTCTCTTCTTTTGTCAAAATGGTATGATGAAGTGCATTTAAATTGTTATCACCGGGGCCTGTGGGTGATGTGGTGGTTAAGGGCTCTGGACTCCCATATCATCGACTGTGGTTCGAGTCCTATATCTGGCAGCTTGCTTTCTCACTTTCTCTCTTTCTTGCTCTCGCTCTGTCCTGCTCTGGCCAAATTAAAATAAGTAAATTAAGTTAAATAAAGTAATTCTTAAAAAACTGTTATCATTATCACTTGATTTCTGAGTTCATTGAACAAGATGTGTTGTGTGCCTCCCTTCCAGCATGGCCTATATTAAACATTTTAAAAGTATAAAGGAAGAAGCTGGCTGGTGATGCAGTAGTAAACTGTGATGCCCTTGAGCACACGTGCATGAGAAGGGCATGGTTCATGTCTGGAGATCTCCCAGGCATGTGCGTGCGCATGGTTGGGGCTGGCTGAGACTGTGTGACTTGTAATGTCAGGGTTCTCTTGGGGGTGCTGTATCTCTGTCTCTCTATCTCTTCCTCTCACTTCAAGAATAAGTGAATAAATTGGGAAAAAACACACAAATAAGTAAAATAATAGGTTTATGCTCTGAGGCATATGGAATTTGGATATCCAAGAGAAGATACAGGATGAGAAAGTATGAGCATTTATGATTATGTACATAAATTACATAGTTAAGAGTTAAAAGCGTGTGCAAGGGAATGGTCAGTGTGGTGTGAAATTAGATGGATTAGAGAGGGATGTGTCTTTAATTACTAGCTTTATCTTAAAAGTTTCATTAAGATTTTAAATGTTTAAAACAAGCAAAAAACCGACTATTTAGAGTAAAATGAATTCAAGGAGTCAGACAGTGGCACAGCAGTAGAACAGGGCACTGCAAGGCTGACACACAGGGAAAAGTTCCAGGTTTGCATCCCAAGATCGTCCTAGGTACTCCAGGCCACGCCTGTGCCTGTGAGCCTGGGGCCAACTAGGCTGGGGTGGATCACAGTGTGAGGACCTGTGGGGGGTGTGTCTCTCTGTCTCTTTCACTCATGGAAGTAGTAAATAAAACTAAAAAATAAATCCTAATTACATTAAAATTAAGGATAACATTTGTTATCAGTGCAGTCTAGCTCTCTAAATTATGAACTAAGTTTTATACAAGAAATGGATTTACTAATTTTATTACACTATTTAAAAGCAGTAAGAATCATTCATAATTATTATTTATATGGAAGAGTTAGCACATATAATTATTTCATTATTGCCTAATTTAAAAAGTTATGTTTAGAAAATAGTATACTAACATCATTTACTCTAGTAGCATTTTTTGCAGTTAATTCTTTCTTTCATGAGAGAGAGAGAAAGGGGGAGAGAGAGAGAGAAGCAGAGACCCCAACAGGGTCTCATCTAACTTCAGTCCTCCCTACAGTCTTTCAGCCAACCAGGATAACAGGCACGCTGGATACGTTCAGGTCAGCTCAGGATCTGAACCTTGAGCCTTCTCATACGGCTCTGAAACATTGCTCATTGGTGCCCTACAACTTGCACCACTGTGACTGGACCAGCACATTTTAATTACAAGTGAATTTTTATTTTATTAATACAATGTAAGTTAAACTGTTTATGTTAATTAATATGAATTTGTAATTAAAATAGATCTGCAGTTTTTAAAAAGTTTATTTTAAAGAATCTAAAAGTGGACTACAAATGGAAATCTCCATATTTATTCAAGAGCCTAGGGACCACCTGGTTACTGATAGGAAGCATTTGCTGTTTAACACATTATGAGTTCTTTGTTTTGTTGACAGTAGGGGGTTAATGAGTGCTGTAAAGGGTCCTGTCTTTGTCTCTCAGGATTCAGTTACAGCAGAAGAATTCTCCCAACACCCTGATTCTTTCCCATTTTGTGGGGAGACCCATGTCAACCAGCTCAGAGCCTTCCTTGATTATCAGACGACTAACTCTAAAGGTATTGTATGCCATCTCTTGGAACTATCAGAATTTTATTTAGATTCAGAAATTGTTGGGACTAATAATACCTCATGACAAACCAATTTTCATCATTATCTACGTTTTGTTTTTCGTATGAGATTAAAATAATATTTTATGTGATCAGATCCTTTTGGGGGCTCAATTTTAGTTTGGAAAGTAAGGGTAGAAATTTCCCACCAGTTGTGGGAAAATTAACTACTTTAACTTGTGTATGTTTTTATGTTGTAGTTAATGCAGCACTCCTGGTCAGTATCTGCCCTGACTTTGGATCCTGCTAAGCTTCTGGAAGAATTTCCACGTTGGTTAGAAAAACTCTCTGCTCGTCACCAAGGCAGCATCATCATCGTTATTGACTCTATAGATCAGGTTCAGGTACTCTCTTCACTTCACTTACTGATAAAAACTCAGAGCAATAATGTCTGTAGCGTGCTTTTAAATGATGTGTGTGTGAATAGATCTATTTTAATTGCAAATTCATATTAATTAACAAAAGTAGGGCAATTTATGCTGGCATTAATAAAATAAGAATTAACTTTTATTTAAAATGTCCTGGTCTAGCCTCAGTGGTGCAAGTGGTAGGGCACCATTGAGCAGTGCTTCACAGCCATATGAGAATGAAATAAGCTTTTGTTTTTCATTTCTGCTTAATTTTTTTTCTTTTTTCTCTTTTTCTTTTTTCTTTCTTTCTTTCTATTTTTTTTCCTTTCCTTTATTTACTT